GTCCCAAAGTAAAATTAATATAACAAATATTTCCATTTATGGATGTTCTATAGAATAGGTGGGAAAACTCCGCAACTCCGCTGAATATTTATTAATGATTACTAATTGTTAGCGGAGTTTATTTTTTATATTGCCCACCTATTCTATAGAACATCCCTTTTCGCTTACATAAGGACGTAACTAGAACTGAGTTATGGATGGTTATGACTCTTATGTGCGTGGTAGGAGCACATGAGGAAATACCTACAGATACGCTCTCTCCATGGCTAAATGAAGCAAAGAAATTCTAATAGGAAAAGTCAAGGAAAACACCATGAACCGGTTACGTCCGCGACAAATACTGAAAAAATTCCTATGCCTCTGATCTAGATTGACAATGCATCTCATTATACATAGAAATTTATTCCAATAATGCATCCGAACTCGAAGATAATGATTATGTAAAGAATTCTGTCACGGTGAAGCTGGAAATCTGGAAAATTTAACTATTTTAATATGCATTCATACAGTATATGCAAAAAGAAGAATACAAAATAACTTCAATTTATAAGGCGAAAAAATATTATGTGGGAGAGAGTCAGTAGAAACGCATCAAATCTTTTTTAATAATCTTAAAATTTTATTGAACACTTGCACAAAAATAACTCAAAAAAACTATAATAAAATTAGTACCAGTCTTTTTAAAAAGTTTATTGATTGATTTAAAAAATCTTTATTAAAATGATTATTATATTATGTTAAAAGCTAGTTTTTGTTCAAGTTATAAAACATTTCTACTGACTCACCCCATATTAACAGTCTAATTTTCATAATATCTTCTGCCTTTACTGTTCCAAAATTAGGAGTTGCTCTATTCATCGATAGTATCTGGTATTTCTAATTCATATATTTCACTATCTATAAAATGAATTAATAAATATTAGACTAATAGAATTTATTTAAAAAAAGGCTAAATTAATAATTTATAATAATTACCTTTATAATCAATTTTAGATGAAATAAACCAACTTTTATAATGTGAATCAATATATACTTGTATATCTTCAATATTTATATTTTGCAATTTTTTATCAGATTCAGATAATTCTGATAAAATATTTTCATTATTATGCCAATTTGCAAAAATATTACAAATTTCTGTTACTGTTGGTCGCAATTAAAATTTGTAGTTTTATTATTATCATTAGAATTTTTTAATTGCCGCAAATTATTTGGACTAATTAATACGCCATCAACTTGGCTTGCATTCGAGAATTGCATAACTATGATATCTACGTAACAAATTAAATTACATCGTTGGTCGATTCAAAAGTTTATCTCCATATTTAATAGATATTAAACATATCAATATTATATTTACGTAATAAAATTCTTACTAAAACATGTCCAATAAAATTTCATAATCAATAGAATTCATAGAACCTTCTTGAATACGACACGATAAAAGACCATTAATACTCTATGGTGAATCATCTTCCTCGAACAAAGAATGCATTTTTTTTTGAGGACGTAATCCTGAAAAATTCCAGCCATAGCGTCGTGTTAGAGTTCTTCTGCCATAAGCAGTTACATATAAAAAACTAACTCGTTTGTATATACTGAGATTCGTAAAATGAAATTGTTTCTATCAACTTCATTTATTTCTTTTGAGTTTTGAAATCTATAGAATAAAATTGTTATAAAATTTATAAAATAAAAATAACGAAATACTTCCTTTTTGTGTGTGTATCCAAATCGTATATGGCCCAACCAACCAAAGTTCCATCTCGAATTATAATTTATACAAGTATCAGTAAGGTTTTTCATTCATAAAGTTTTAGGATATTTTATATCGTTCATGTCTTGAGAACGTGGTTTTCTTGAAAGCGACAGAAGTTTTTCAATACAGCAATATCTTTGAAAATGCACAAGTGCCCGACTTATAGAAGACCTATTAACACCTGAGTGTTTTGCAATTTTTAGAATTGATAGGCTTTTAAATTTTTTTCAATAATTTGCCAGCGAATGTGCTTTGAAAATATCATAGTTTTTGTATTCAACAAGTGATATGCATAGTTTTACTGTATATTTTTCACCTGATTTTGAATTAGCATTATATCATAATTAGTGCTCCGAATCGGGTCGGGTTCAGGTTGGAAAAATCCGACCGAAAAATTTCGGGTCGGGTTCGGGTTGAACGTCAACCCGACCCGACCCAAAAATTATCCAATTTAGAGATACTCAAAATAAGTATTTTATGGTTCTAATTGTAAGTGCATATGTATTTTTAAATAATATTTTAAATAAAACCTCAAAAGACAGTCAAGTATGCACCAATCAAATTTCTTCAAACGATCGACACAATTGTCACTCGATTTTGATTGGTTAACGGCCGCAGATCTGCAAATTTTAGCCCACATTACATAATTATTTACTAATTTCCGGCCGGAATTAGCTTTTGATTTTTTCATAACAAAAATAGAAAATTTTGTTAAATAATAATAATCCCGCATTACGGTAAAATTGACCTAGGAACAATTTTCACTTAATAGGCTCCGTGGTTTCATTAGTAGAATTCTGAGTATTTCAGGTCAAATTTTTTGATAATCGCTCTTAGCCAATCAAAATCGAGAATCTGCCGTGAAACTTTGTTGCGGCAGCTAGGGTTGCAATATTAAGAAAACTAATATAAAAAAAATTATAATTTCTAATCGATCTTTAACTTAGATTTTTTACTTTAAAATATTACATATATTGAAATTGGTTTGGTTCTTCGAAGAGATCTGATTGGTGCATATTTATCGAAAGGTTGCTAATGAAGTTAAAAATCTATATGCTCTTTTCAGCAAAAATAAAAAATGTTTTCATCGATTTTAGGTGGGCAGTTATCATGGTATTATCGATCAAAGTTTGGAAAAACTTAACTGATGACTTTGTTTTAATAATCGCCTAAATTCTTTTTAACTTTGACGATAATTTCTCGACAGCAAAATCAGTAAAGTTTTTTTATTTTCATGTGGATTCATATATTCCATGAATCCACATGACAATAAAAAACTTTCATTGATTCTGAATATACAATGCACGATTTTTACTGTAGTAGCCCTAGATATGGGGAAAATGCGCATTTTATAATAACATGCGCATTAATGCGCACGTTATATAAAACGCGCATGATATAATTTTTTTGATTTTATATTTTTCCTCCGGAAAATATCGGATATTTGCCAAAGTTTTTTCCCCGGCCCTTCTCATCTTTATGTTCATTCATTTTCTTTTCCAAATTTTTCAAAACTTCTGCATTCCTATTTCTTAATTTTACCTGGCATTATATATCTTAGCCTAAATCCTTAGCCAAAATTAAATATACTTTAATTTTCCTATATAAAATTTAGATGGGATAAAATGCGCATGATTCCGAAACATGCGCATTAATGCGCACGATTGAGGAATCATGCGCACGCATGAAACCCATCTCTATAGTAAACCTTTATTTTTGATTACGTATTAAGATCAAGTAAATAAACTTCCTATATACTCATGTTCTAGTTGACAGTTTAGAGAATAAGTTATTTAGGTGAAACTTTTAATGTTGTAATTTTTAGAGGATAAGATATTTAGATTAAACTTTTAATGTTGTAATCATTGGTTACCACATGTAAATTTAAAGCATTTCTTTTGAAATTTTATGAAATTCTAAATGACCTTGATCCGTTTTAATGCTACACTCAATCATTTCTAATCTTCTCGCTTGTGCTGCCAAACTGTCCAAACTTCTATCTTCTCTGTCATGCTTCTCAATCAAGGCATGATAAAGCAATCTCTGCGGTGTACAAATAAATTCTGCAAGTATCCAGTTTGTATTTCGATAGTATAGAGAACAAATAGATATATAAGAGAAAAATAATAGTGGAAGTATGATTACTGCGGTATATACCAAAATACCGAAAATGGAATGATAGTTTGATCTATATTCTCTTCAAGTATATAATTATATCCTTTCCCTACTCCGTTTTCTTGTACTACAACGCTAAATGTAGATATTGTTGCTTGAGCCCATTTTTGTGCAAATTCATTAGCTAATAATGTGCTATTCCCTTTGTGTGCTACAATTTCAACATCATCTATTGCTCGATACACCATTATATATTGCATTGATGCAGCACCAAGGGTAAAAAGTTGTGAATTTGTCAAGTTTTCTTGTGAAATTACTTTTAACGATCCAAGGGTAACAACATAATCGATTTTTGAAGCCAATATTTGACAGTGTAGTAAAATTGTAAGGTAATTGTGTAATTCTACTACGAATTCAGAATCATAATGTGCAGATTTATCTACATCAAAATGCATATTTACAATTGCATGTATAGGATTAGATGCTTCATACCTTTCGAGATTATTGATAGCAGAAGTAATGTTGACGAAAAAAGCATTTGTTACCGTATTTCCTGAAACAGACCATAAAGTTTGAGGGCAGGTGTAATTTGTAATACCGCCATTAAATACTTTTACATTACATATACTACTGATTGGTTTACAAGATGGTTGTAAAAAGATACCAGATCCTGAAAATGAATAGGATTGTTGTGGAGGTGGAGATTGCAAAAGATAAATTACATCTTCATTACTCCGAATTTGAAAGGACTCGCTCACGTTTTGATACACTTCTAATACTTTTCTTGGATCTTGAACGTGTGATATGCAATTATCTGAGTAAGATATATCAGAACAATTTGTTGCTATTTCTAGTGATCTTGGGCTCTGAATTGTTGATCCTTGTAATCGTTGTAAATTTCCGATGGAAGTTGCGTGAATGAATAAATCAGCCATTGTAATTACATATTGCCAAAGTAGTGGTAAAGCAATAATGATGGCCAGTTTACGTGTTCGACCAGAATTAAAACATGCTTTCGTAATACTCCATATACCATGGGCTATAGATGCTTCCATTAATTGATTGATATTTGTACCAGATTCATTTAAATTGGTAACTTGAATTAAGACTAATATTCCTGCAAAAATTGTCGGTATCATAAACTCTATAACATAAGACGTTATCCTTGTAATTATTGTTACAATCGTCAAGAAGAATCCAACACGTAAATCCCATAAAACATCGAAGCCTTTTATATGACCTTTCATTCCTATAAAGATCGCTAATATTAACATTGCGATAGAAACAATACATCCGAGAATAGTGCCTTTGAATATTGGCGAGTGGAAATGGTTGTATATTATAGATTTTGATGTGTCATCAATGTCTTCATCGGAAGTGACTAACATAATTTTGGTTTATACGAAAAGTGATATTCTGATTTGTATGAAAATAGATATGAAGTTATTTGGCATTTTAATAATTTTCTATAATGAACTTAGGAATTTAAAAGGTATGTGCGTACATACAGTACGTACGATGTGGCCTTAAAAAAAAATTTCACATTTGTTTGACTAATTAAATCAATGTAATTAGTAGGCACATATTTTATTCAACAAGAGGAACCGTCGATGTTACACGACTGATCCTTCATATAAAAAATTGGAACTAAATTCAAAAAGGAAATTAAACAATAAGAGGAAATTAAACAATAATATGCATAAATTGTTCCTTTCAAAGGAAAAAAAAAGATGCAAATATTCGTGTAATAGTCAATCAAATTTGACTTAATATTACACGAAATTTGATCGAAAAATCCATTTTATACATCTAGCGTTAGATTAAAATGTATACTACGTATATGTAAAAATGGTATATAATCTACAATATTTTAATATTCTATCATAATAATAAACTCTTATCAATATGAAGTTTTTTTTAATCATTCAATATATATATTTGTTAAGCCTGGCATTTTTCTTTGTGGACCCTAAAAATGTTCCTGACCCTCGCACTCGACAGGCTAGTATATTAGTTAGTGATAAGCTTTATTTTTTTGGTGGCATGTTGAATTCAACCGTAAATTATGAAGTATGGTACCTTGATTTATCCAATTCTTTGAATATAACTACACCGCTATGGCATAAAGAGGTTGGAATGCCAATAGGATATATGCGTGGTAGTGCTTGTGTTAGCCCTATTGATAATTCACAATTTACATAGTTGGTGGAAGAATGGCTACTCCAAATACGGTACACGACAACTATACTTCAGAAATATATGGTTTTAATTCTAATATTTCACAATGGACAATGCCAAAGATAATTGAATTTAATAGTTCTTTCGCAAAACGTGATTCAATGATGGCTGTTATTGATAATTATGGAAGAATTTTTATCCTCGGAGGTTCTAATGCTACCTATCCTTATAATGATATGAATATGCTTGATACTATAACTATGAAATGGTCAACACTTATTCAATCATCGAGTCAACTTCCTTATATTTCTTATGCATCTATACTATTACCAACTGGCCATATCATTTACATAGGTGGGGAAGAAAGTATTAATTTAACTTTCGTTAATATGAGTAATGTATATTTAAATAAATGTATATTTTTACTACAAATTTCTATTTGATGTTCACCTTATTTAAATTAATTAAGATTCAAATATATGACACAAAATATTTCAACTGGACTACCAAAGTATGCAAAACAATACCTCATAATATTTTTGTATTTAATGTAATTAATATAATATTAATTTAATAGTTATTGTCTTTTTTTAGATTGCTAATGGCGATTTCATAGGATCTCGTATTGGACATTCAGCTGTTTTAAGTATGTATATTACCGTTACCGAAGAATTATTATTGAAGAATCTTATAAGCTTTTTTTTTTTATAAACTAGCAAAAAAAGAAACTATTATTGTATATGGTGGTACAAATGGATCCATACAAGCATTTCCAGATATTGCTGTATTAAATACAAATACATGGATGTGGTCAATCCCAAATGCTTCCAAAACAAATGCTCCGAAGCCCCTTGCGTTTCATTCTGCTGCATTATACAGAGACTATATGATTATTGCATTTGGTAGTAACGCATCATCTATTTCTAAATTATCTAATAATATTTATATTTTTGATACACAAAATTACACCTGGATTACGACAATAAATTCAAATAATTCTATAAATCAGCTAAATTCTTCAAGTAGTCAACGTAATATAAAGGCATTTATTGGAATTGGCATTGGTGTGGGTGGAATTATCTTATTTATCATTATTGGAATTTTATTTAATAAGAAAATTCTTCAAAAGTCAAAATACATTTTAGGTTAGTATTATTTCTTATGTAGGGGTACGTATAACTCCTATGAAAATAAGTTTAAAACATTATAAATGGTATAAATATATTTTTCAAATTGATTTTTTATATTTTTTTATGGGATTATTTTGGCAATTCTAATTGAAAATATACCTTTGGTCAAGTCTCAATATTAACCACAAAAATTTTCTAGATTACTATTTTAGATATCTCTGCACGCCAATATTCCATGGTACTATTCTCAGTTGGACTACTTCTATCATTATAATAATATTAGCTGTTATTGCAGGAATACAATGTCAGTTGAATGGCTTCAATATTATATGGGATTTACGTATTGGTCTTTTCTTGACGGCTATTACAGTAATCACAAGAATTACATCTTTTGTTGCAGGATTTATAATTCCACCTATTTTAGCAGGGATGTTTTTTTTAAATAAATCATTTAATTTGGAAGGATCCGGCATGATTATCAATCATTTAATGAATGCTTGTATGTCTCGTAGTCTTATAAGTACAATGACAGCTTGTTTTAGCACTGGCCAAGTTCGTAAAATAGCTATCATTGTTGCCTCTGTTTTAGTATGGCAATATGCAATAACGGCTGCTGATTTATTTCTCCATGCCAATGCCATCGAAAATTCACAACGACTACCAGGATTAATAATCTCTAGTATGAGATCACTAGAAATTGCAACTAATTGTGATGAAACAGAATTGTTAAACAACAATTGTATATCAAACAAACGCGGAATCCTTTATATAACTAAATCTCTAGAAGTATACCGGAATGCGAGCAATTCCTTTAAAGTTTGGCGTAGTGATAACGGCATTTACTTTTTACATTCACCACCTCAAGAGAATGCCTATTCATATTCAGGATCTGGTATCTTTTTACAATCTTCTTGTATACCTATAAGCAGTGTATGTAATTTAAAGGCTAAAAACAGTACCGTGACAGATTTCTTTTGTCCTGAATCATTATGGTCTGTTTCAGGCAATGTATTGGATACTTCCCTTATAGGATATACAGGAGATATATATTCAAACGTTACCAGTACGATTTTTAATTCGAATTTGGGAAAATACGAAGCTTCTAATCCTACACATGCAATTATTTATATACACTACAGTAAAAGTCCTTCAACGAATTATGACTCTGAATTTGTAACTAATGTTAATGGTAACATTACAATTCTATTACACTGTCAAACATACGCCTCAATAGTCGATTATAAAGTTACTCTTGGATTACTGGAGGCATTTCCATCAGAAAATCTGACAAGTTCACAAATGTTTATTCTTAGCGTTGCATCAGGGTTAACTCCATTGATGCATCGTGCTAAAGATGATGTCGAACTTATAACGTATGAAGGCAATAGTACATTATTTGCTAATCTATTTGCTCAACAATGGGCTCAAGCAACTGTCGCTAGATTTAGCGGTATAGTTCAAGAAAATGGAACGGATGGTGGATATTCTTATGTGCTTGAAATAATTAAAGACCAAACTATTACATCACTTTCGGCTATCTTAATATATACCACTGTTATAATAATCCCACTATTAATTTTCTCCTATATTTGCCTTTATTCTCTATTCAATCGACATTTAAACTGGATACTTGCTGAATTTTTCTGCACACCACGGAGGTTACTCTATCATGTATTGATTGGAAATCATTATGTAGATGATGGTTGTTTGAAAAGTTCAATAGTGCAAGAGGGAAAACTTAAAACTATAAAGTGTACTATCGATGTGCAGGAACATTCTGGGTTGAAAATAACATCAAATACATCAAGTAAAATTTAATAAGCTATATAAATGGTGATTATAAATATTAAATTCTTTTTTTTTTTTTTAATATTGAGGTGACCACTTAGGCCCCTGGCACTTTATTAGTTCAAACGGGTGGGAAATATTAAATTCTGTGTTCTCAAGATTTAAATTTGTGACTTGTAATTTAACTTAGGAATGATCTGAAAATAAATAAACATAGCCAATTTGTAGAATTAGGCCTTTTTTTAGATTACTTAAAATTATAAATAATCTTTAAATCACCAAAACAATATTGAAATATTACACAATCTAAATAATTTAAATTTAAATTATCACATACATATTTACATGTCAATTATATTAGCACAAACCCTTTTAAATAATAGAGTTTTAATTTTTTATTATATTTTCTTATTATATTTCTTTATCATAGTTTGTTACAACTGCATTGGCAAAAACTTATCAAGTTAATATATACTAAAAAAAACTCGATATTATCAAAAATTTGTTGAGATTCTAAAAAAATAACAAAAACATGCTAGCTTTGTTAACTATTTTATTATTATTTTAAATATTGAATGACTTCTCAGGTAATTATTTCACCCAAACCCTAAATCGAGATTATTTTATATAATTGTTGTAAAAAAAATAATTACTGATTGCCTATATGCAGTGGTCGACTTTGGTGCCCCGGGTATTCGTAGCGCAAGGGTTAGGGATCATGATCGGGTCATGATCGGGATTTGCATGAATGGCGTGATTCGGGGTTACATGGAATTAATTAAAAGTTAAAATAGTGATTGCATGAACAATGTGGTAATCATTAATAATAGTGATTGCATAAGCGATGGGAAAGTATGTAATAATCAGTGACGCAAAATAGCGATTAGTAATTAATATAAGGTATTGATTCCGAAAGGGAAAGTACCTAGCTTTGAAACTTGGTAAGCTTTGATAGCTTTTAGAATTGAGTTCGCTTAGTGAAAAAACAATCTTAGTGAATAAACTGTCAACTGTGTGTTGTATACATTATCGGTGGAAGGACCTGTACGATACACGGTTATTCGAACGAATTAGCCAAGCGAGTAAAGACCGATAGTAAAGTCAACAAGTACACGGTAGATCCAGAAAAAACCGTGACACTATGATAGTAGTTATTTTACTTAAGCAGATTTAGGGTTTAAAATGATATGAACGATATTCTGAATTCATAATACATAAAAGCAGGAATAAAAAATACAATATTGTAATTATATTTTGTATAAGTTTTTATTCGCTTTGATTTTAATATAGTTAAGTAAAAAATGCCAGGAACGGAGTGATATTGAAAATTTCACGAAGTGTTTGGTTATATTGCAAATTAAATGATGTACGTACTGTACGTACGTACGTTGTGAGAGGGTAAATGAACCCTACTAGTTCTGTTTTAGGGTTATGGTCGGTAGTAATCCCGAATTATTGGTACAGGTGGCACAAATCATTGAGAATTCCGGTTATCCAATAGATATTAGAAATTCCGCTTGATAACGAAAATAAGTTTTTATTCTCGTTATCTATTAGATAGCAAAAATAACGTAGCATTCAAAGAATTC